TCACTCACGAGCTCATAATGTCATTAAACTAGCCCGACAACAATGATATGATGTATGAATAAACAACAACTAAAACTGAGATATGATATGAATGCATGAGACTGAGTACGAAATATCAAAGAAACCAGTGAGATGACAGCAAGAAACGACCACTATTGTTCCTAACAATATTAGCATAAAGCCTAAACATGATATCTAGCATGACTGACAGCTCAGTTACTTTATCACATGGTGAACACACAGATATCAACAAAATAGGGCCACTAAACATTGCCATGAAAACAACGGAGTTACAATTCACAGGGTGCACGCAGACACGCCCGTCACCTAGCATGTGTGTCACCTCATCATCAATCACATAGCACGAAATTCGGGGTTTCATACTCTCAGCCCTAAATTTAGAAGAGTTACTTATCTCTAGCAAGCAAATTCCAATATCGAGCAAGCCAAGAGATGCTCCAAAAATGCCATCTCGCGTGTGCTGGCCTCCAAAAGGCTCAAAACTAGCCAAAAGCAACTCAAATACATCAAATAAAGCCCTAGGAAATAATTCCAAATGATAAAGATCGAATCCTTAATCAAAAACCAAAACCGGCCAAAAATCACACCCGAGCTCATGCCTCGGAACCCGAGAAAACTCACAAAATCCGACAACCCATTCAATTACGAGTCCAATCATACTAGTTTCACTCAAATCCGACTCTGAATCGATGTTCAAAACTCAAAAATTCACATTATGAAACTTTAGGCCAAAACCCCCAATTTCCTCCTTAAAATTCATCAACCAAAAGGTAAAATCGAAGATAGATTCATGGAATATAACCAAAACTGAGTAGAGAACACTTACCCCAATCCTTGTGATGAAATTTGCTCCAAATAGTGCTCCATTCCGAAGTCCATAGCTCAATATGTAATAAACATGACCAACCCTCGAACTTATAACAGTCTGCCCAGCAATTTCGCATATGCAGTTAAAGTGTCGCATCTGCGACCTCCGCTTCTGCGGATGAAATCTCGCATCTACGAAGCCCATGGAGATCGGCCCATGCTCACCTGCGGATATTCTTCGCCTCTCCGCATAGGTGCGCCAACAAACTTTCGCTTTTGCGCCACTTCTGCGGCTCCACTATCGCTTCTGCGACCATCGCACCTGCGCAAAACAGCCGCAGGTGCGGTCACACCAGAACCAGCAGCAACCAGCCTTCGCCAAGATTTCCAAAATGCTCCGAAATTAGTTCGAAACACGCATGAGCCCCTCGGGACCACGTTAAAACATACCAACTAGTTCCATAACATAACACGAACCTACTCGAGGCCTCAAAACACACATAACAACATCGAAACGACGAATCACACCTTAATTCAAAATCAATGAACTTTGAAATTCAAACTTCCACAACCGATGCCGAAACCTATCAAATCACGTCCGATTGACCTCAACTTTTGCACACAAGTCACATCTGATATTACGGACATGCTCCAACTTTCGGAACTGAAATCCAACCCCGATATCAAAAGGTCCACTCCCGGTCAAACTTTCTAAAAATCCAACTTTTCGCCATTTCGAGCCAAATTCAACTACGGGCCTCCAAATCACAATCCGGACGCGCTCCTAAGTCCAAAATCACCCAACGGAGCTAACGGAACCATCAAAAATCCAATTCGAGCTCAAATACTAAAAATTCAAACTTGATCAACTCATTCAAATTTAAAGCTCCACAGTTGAGAATCATTCTTCCAAATAAATTCCGAATAACCTGAAAACCAAAAAGATTCACATAAGTCATAATACATCATACGGAGCTACTCATGCCCTCAAACCACCGAGCGAAGTGCAAACGCTCAAAACGAACGGTCGGGTCATTACATAAGGCGGGTCACCTACACTACAACCTATACGCAGTATATAATAATGACAGAAAATGAAAATACGGAACATGATAAAATAGTCAACTAAAACTATTAACTACAACTTCAAGAAGTGAACCAGTATCGTCCAGAATTACCAATCCTTAGCATTTCAAATGAGAATACCTAAAACCAAACACAGCTAAGAAATGGAAACACATAGGTTGTTGCGGCGCGCAATCCGATCCCACCGTACAACATAAAATCCTCCCTTATTTCACCGTAAACATCAACAACAGAGATAATATATAAATATGTTGCGGCACGCAACCTGATTTCACCATATATCAATATCAGTATCATAATTCACCCTTATTTCACCATATCAATCCACCCTTATTCCACATGTTGCGGCGTGCAACCCGATCCTACCATATAGTACAAATTCACCCTTATTCCACCAAATCAATCCACCCTTATTACACCTGCTGCGGCGTGCATCCCGATCCCACCATATCAGTACCAAATACTCAATGTGCACAGTTAAATCAACATTTCAAGCCATAAAAACCTTTACGATCAATAAATACCAAACTGAACCAAAAGAGGAAACCTTGTACAGTATAGGAATCTACACAAGTAAAACTACACAGGACCAATCCAGTAATTGACAATTAGAAGGTGCAAATAAGTCAATTTAAGCTAATAGCAGGGAGTCATGAAACTGTGAAAAGAGCTAACATCATTAGCAGGAGAAGATATTGATTAGCAGGTAGCAGTTAAGCATGGAAAGCATTTAGAGCATATAACAGTTAAGGCGGGGAAGGAAATAATCAAAGAAAAGCGAAAAATCAAGGAAAACAGATTATTCGGCGACGTATAAGCACTCGTCACCTCGCATATACGCCGCTCACGTGAGAATCACATAGTACATAGTTCGGGGGTTCCTAATTCCCTCAAGTCAAGGTTAGACACAACACTTACCTCGCTCCAAAGATCACTCAAAACTCAACCATAGCTTTGCCTTTCAAACAAGCCTCCGAACCAACATATCTAGCAAATTACCAACCAAACTATTCAAAATAAGCCTTAGGAATCACCCACGATTGCAAAAGATTCAATTTAGGTCACTATTGAAAAAGTCAACTCCCGGGCCCACTTGGTCCAAACCCGAAATTCGGACCAAAATTCGATTATCCATTCACCGCCGAGCCTGGTTATGTTATTTGTTTTGGAATCCGACCTCAATTTGAGGTCTAAATCCCCATTTTACAAAAATACCTAATTCTACCCAAACCCCCAATTTCCTCCGTGAAAACACTAGATTTTAGGCTGAAATCTTAGAAGTCTTAATTATTATATTAGCATAAGTAGTAAACGTTTTCAACTAGGGATACAAACAAACCTTACAAATTCCTACGCCAGCGTGCCGATACTAGTGGAAATGCAAGGAAAGATTGAAAGAAAATGGGTTAGAATCACTTGCTAATGATTTAGGTATGAAAGGGTCTTGGAAAAATTGCCTCTAGGGTTCTAGGTTTTGAAAATTTGATGAATGAGAGAAAAACCACATCTAACTCAAGTTTTACACAGCTGCAGATGTCGCAATTGCGACCTGGGGTTCGCAATTGTGAATCCCGCAAATGCGAGAAACACTTCGCAATTGTGAAGCCTCAACATTTTTGCTACCATCGCAAATGCGGACAATCAGTTTGCAAATGCGAACCTGAGGGGATTGCAATTGCGACCCCTGTTTTCGCAAATGCAAAAAGTTCCACCCAGCCCACTACTCGCAAATGCGATGGTCACTTCGCAAATGCGAGGCTCGCATTTGCGAGCCAGACCTCACAATGCGAAGTTTGTAGATCTGATACACCAGCTTTGATTTTTCTAAGCTCAATCTATTCCGTAGCCTATCTGAAACTCACCTGAGCCCTCGAGGCTCCAAACTAAACATGCACACAAGTCCTAAAATATCATACGAACCTGCTCGCGCGATCAAATCGCCAAATAACACCTAGAACTACGAATTGAGCACCAAATCGAATGAAATTTTCAAGAAAACTTTGAAAATTCTATTTTCACTACCAGGCGTCCGAACGTCAAACCAACTCCGCTTCTCACCAAATATCACAAACAAGTCATAAATATAATAATGGACCTGTACCAAGCTCCGAAACCAAAATATGGACCCGGTATCAACAAGACCAAACATTAGTCAATTCTTAAAAATCAATAAACTTTCAATTTTCAATAAAAATTAATAACTCGATCTAGGGACCTTCGAATTCGATTCCGGACATACGCCCAGGTCCCAAATTCCATACGGACGCACCGGGACCGTCAAAACACGGATCCGGGTCCATTTGCTCAAAACATTGACCGAAGTCAACTCAAATGAATTTTTAAGGCAAAATTCTTATTTTTATCAGTTTTTAACATATAAGCCTTCCGGAAAAATACCCGGACCGCTCACCCAGATCGAGGAAGGCTAAAATAAGATATTTAAGGCTTCGAAACATAAATTTTGGCTCTAAAACATGAGATGACCTATCGGGTCATCACATCTGAATATAAGGTTTTCTAACTTAGTTCAAATAAGGAAAGATTTAAAATGTAAAATTTGGGTTAATTTTAAACTCCTAAATATTAAAAAAATCAAATGACTATTTTATCTAGCGTGAACTCTATTTTAAAAGGGTAAAAAAGATGAACGTCATTTCACTAAGGGCTTTCGTGCTTTTAATATAGTATAGATTACCACTCTTATAAGTGAAGATTATCCAAAATGTTCTCCGCTTTACCCAGGCTATGATGATCATACATAATTGAATGCAACTTGTTGGCTTGTTGATGAGTATCAACAGAGATGACAAAACACAACACTCTAAGCAAAAAAATTAGACCAATCAACTCATCATTAAAAGAAAATACATTACAACTCAATTATTACAGTGGTTTCTTGTAAACTGCCATAATTTTGAGACGTATATAATATAAAACCCTTTATCAAGTTGAAATGACAGCCAGCCGCAGCTAGCAAGTAAACTTATTACATTTGAATATTTGATAAGCAGAATGATTAGAGTCGTGGATAAGATAAAAACTAATCTTTCAGTAGTAAATATTTCAAAAAGTAACCATTACAAAACTGCAACGTTTCTCTGTATGATAATGCTCTCCATTTACTAAGGCAGAAATCCAGCTAGCACTGCCATGTCTTGATCTTTCAACTTTATCATTTTGGGATATCAATCCTCAAATCGAGCCCAATGTCCATTCCGTTGTATGCAATGGGAGAATACATCCATAGATCATCAGAGCTCAAAAGCTGCTTGCAGATACCCAAACAAAAAGCAGGACATTAAGATCCATCACTTGATTCCAAAGTGAGAAGTAATTAGTCTTAGTACCTTTAGTTAATTAGCTAGCTACGCCATCATATAACAAAATGATAAGATTTTCAAGCTATACTTGTCGTTCTCTCTTTCTTTTGCTATCTCCATGTGCCATGCTCACGCAATAGTTTAAGCCTAATGCATTTTAACACGTGGTGAAGGGAAACTAAATCTTACCTTGATTTGGAGTTGCAAAAATTTGACATACAGGACAGCCTCTTCAAGCATGGTGCTAATATCAACCTGTCAATCGAATATTTTACTTTTTAGGTTCACATTCTCTCGGCAGATAACATGGTCACTAATATATGCAGTTTCACCTACATTCACTTACCTTCGTTCCATTAGGGATGAGAGTCTGCAAGGTCCTCAATCTCTCATTAATTCTCTCTCTTCTTTTCTGCAAAGGAAAAGAAAAGATCCTTTAGACATGTATATACTAGCAAATCTGGAGATCAAGCAACTGACCGTATGCTACTCTGCTAACAATACTCCTTTCATTTAATTTTAAGAGAGTTTGACTGCACACGGAGTCTAAGGAAAAAGAAAGACTTTATGACACTACCCTTAGAAGTTAGAACATATGGCCTTAAACATGTCACAACTAAAATAAAAAGAAAGTTCAAAAAGTTTCAAATATATAAAGGTGTGCTTTTTAAGAAGTTCAAATGGAAGGAGTATCACATAAACTGGAACTGAGGAAGTAATAGGCAGATAGATACCCTTGCATACAAGCTCTGGGGGTCAGTTGCTGAACCCCTGTTGGCTCTGGTTTTCCGGGTTAACACGTGAGAAACATTAGATTCATCTTCTGAGCAGCAACTGATCGTAGAGTTCTGCCTCTGAAGCACAACCTTATTTTTCCCATCCATCTCACCACTCTTTAGATCCTTCTCCAGCTTTGCGCTTCTCTTGTTCTTCGGGACCTATGTCATAGAATCATGAGACAGGGACTACAAGATGAAGCACCATATCTACCATTCTGAAAGAGGTTGACAACTATGTTCTATTAAATCAGATATAGAACGGTTTCAAAGTTCATGAATGATACTTACATGCTCAAGCCCATGCAGCCGTGATCTTTTCTTAGAGCTTTCTGATGGACTATCCATTTTGTCTTCCGAAAATTGTTCATAATCTGTTCTTCCTAGCTGCAAGCCTTTTCCATCAAGAGCAGCTTCAGGCATGTTTTCATCAAACTCCATGCTGTCATTGCTCACATCTTGGTTAAGGAAGTCATCCGCTTCAATTGGATTATTAGTATCCACCAGACCATGTTCCACTGTTATTGAACTATCATTTCTCATCAAGATAGGCCGGTAATGACTTGAATAGTAATTTTCATGACTCGAAGGCGAAAAAAGAAAGCTACTACCATCAATGTACATACTATTGTTAGTTTTATTTGAAGAATACACAGAAACTTCTCTTGCTCCTCCCATGTTCATGTTTGATTCATGACCAGTCCAATATGCGGAGGAGACTCCAAAGTTAGAACTACATGGTAGTTCGTTTGGAAGTGAACAGTTACCAAGTAACTGTGCCATAAAATCAGCCTCGTCAGTTAAACACATTCCGCTGAAGGAGCTCCATTCCCCTGATATTGACGCCACAGGCTCCATACTGTTATTACAACTAGAACCTGAAGGAAATGGAGGAGTTGTGCTATTTAACTATATAATAGAGAAGCTAAATTTCTTGGAAAAAGTGGGAGATAGAGGCACATATTTATACCAGAACAAATACAAGGGAATGTCAGGATGGATTGACTTTGGTTGGTATATCAATATATAAATCCTAGGACTCAGCAACCAAGAATATTTAATAAACAGAATATGCTCCAACCTTTTTAAATAGTACTAGTAATATTTTTTTGTGGAAAATGGGCCAAGTACAACTAAGACAGACTCGGTTCAACTTCAACCAGTTAAGGACAAAATGATGCAACCCTTGAGAGGGTGTATAAAAACACTAGATCTAATTAATTAGGTAAACCTGGCTGATAATGACTAGAGTTTATATACCAATCATTGAGAAAAGGATTAAGTATTATCAGTACTATCAACTGTCCAAACTTATTATTAGGAAAAGGTGGAAGTGATATGGGAAAGGAGATTAAGCATCTTACCTGGAGAACGTGGGAGTCTTTTTCAATACATTAAAATAAAACAAATTAAAAATAGCATATACCTGGGAAACATATCCATCACGGTCGTGAGTTTGACAATCTAAAAAGAGAAAGGATTCAAATTTACTCTTCACTAAGATTAGAAGTTGTCACAAAAATTACACTTGAAAAGGCCATAAGAAGCCATTTCAGGATCCCTCTACTTAGGCACTAAGACAGTCAATTCTCAACACCAGCGCACTACCAACCCAATTGGAGCTCCGTTACATGGACGGAGTTTTAAGATATATTGAGTATAGTTATTATTATTGATAGATCAATTCATTATTGTATTGTGTAACATAACTTCTAGTTAGTAGCCAGCTTAGTGATTAGCCTAGTCAAATTAGTTAATGAGCAATTAGTTTAGTCAATAAGTCAACATGTATATATCATTGTACAATTAGTGAAACAAAATGGGAGTTCACATTTTCAGGAAAATATCTCGGCTCCTCCACTCTCTCTTCTTCCTCTCTTCTCTCAGAATGTTCTAGTAGATTCCATGGGAGCTTCATCCATTTGAGCTCGCATGCACTCTTGTTATGGTATCAGAGCAGGAACATCAGCTCGGATTTCTTCGGCGTCTTCAACTATCGTCCCAAATTTTATTTAGCTTCGTCAATTTCTAGGGCTTTGGCAATTTCCGTCAATTCTGAGAAAATCACCTCACAAATTGAAGATCTTAGATCTAGCTGAAAACTTTATATCCTTCAGACTCATCGAATCAGAATTTTGCATATGGCTGTAGATCAAACTGAAGAGATGACCCCTAGCACGAGCAGAAATGACCATTTGGTCATCGATACAAGTAATCCCCTCTACATTCATCCTTCGGATAGTCTTGGCATGACCTTAGTACCAGTTCCGTTCGACGAAATTGGATATCGTTCCTGGAGGAGAAGCGTATTGCGAGCCTTATCAGTTAAGAACAAATTAGGATTTATTAATGGAGAGTTTAGAAAACCAAGTTCTGATTCGCCTCAATTCCGCCAATGGGAGAGGTGTGATGATATGGTAACCTCGTGGATCCTCAATTCCCTTGCTAAGGAAATCTCTGATAGTGTGGAATATGTAAATGACTCGGTTGAGCTATGGAGAGAATTAGAGGATCGTTATGACGAAACAAATGGGGCAAAATTGTATCAGATCCAGAAAGAAATTAATGATCGTGCACAAGGTTCCTTAGACATAACCACATACTATACGCGAATGAAGAGGCTGTGGGAAGAACTGAACACCTTAAGTGTCAAATCTCAGTGCAGCTACAATTGCACATGTGGAGCAAAAGAAACTATGCATAAAGCAGAACAGGATCGACGGCTTATCCAATTTCTGATGGGATTGAATGAGGTCTATACAATAGTGCGAGGAAGCACTCTTATGATGAAACCTCTACCTTCTATGGCACAAGCTTTCTCCCTACTAATACAAGAGGAAAAACAAAGGGAATTCAAGCCCAATGGTCAACTCAGTCTAGATTCCACTTCACTGCATGCAAATGCAAGTTCACAGAATCAAAGTCCATTTCCATAGAACCAAAGTCCATTTGGGGCCAGAAATTTTAAAACTCACTACACAACTAGCAACAGTAGCAAGGGTCGTCCATTCTGTGATTATTATAAAAGACCAGGTCATACAAGGGAAAAGTGTTACAAGTTACATGGATATCCTCAAGGCAGTTCCTATAGCAACCAAAACTTCAATCGTAATAATGCCAATGTTCAGCCCTATAATCAAGGGAACAACCAGAACCACAAATTCAACAAAGGAAAAGGATCTGTGGCTAATGTACATGGAACTCCATATGACATGATTCATGAGAATGGGAATGAAAAACTACAAAATGATAATCAGAATGTCAATCTGACAAAGGAGCAATATGGGCAGATAATGAACTTGCTACAGCATTTTCAAGTGGGATATGCAGGAGGTTCTCCCAGCAACATCAATGCCACCACTGGCAGTGCCAACTTTGCAGGTATTGTTGTCTGTACTTCTTCTATTGATTTTGACAAACCTTCATGCAAATATTTTAATCAAAGGCTGATCTTCAGATTATAGACTCAGGAGCATCCAACCATATGACTTTTAACAGACATGCACTTACCAATATCACCAAACTACCCTGTCCTTTACTGATAAGCCTACCAAATGGATATAGAGTAAAGGTTCTTGAATTTGGAGACGTGATACTTTCTTCAGACATTGTTCTACATAGGGTCCTTCATATCCCATCATTCAAGTATAACTTGATTCTGTTCACTCCCTTGCAGTACACCTTAGATGTATTGTGTTTTTCAGTGATGCACTTTGTCTGTTGCAGGCCCCTTCAGTGAAGAGGCCTCAGGTGATTGGTAGTAGCAAAGAAGGTATGTACTATCTCTGTTCCAGATGTTTGAAGGGTAAAAGAACTGTCTTACCTTCTGTTGTTTCAACTTCCTATTGCAATTGTATTCCTGATCCTCAATCTGTAAATAGTCATGAGTCTGTAGGTCATACTCATTCACGTCACACTCCTCAATCTGTAAATACTTCCATTTCAAGCAATAAGAATGAGCCTTCATATGTGTTTGATAAGCATGATGTAAATTCTCTATGGCACAATAGGTTTGGTCATGTTTCTTTTGTTAAAATGAGAGGGATATCCTCAATCCCTGTAAAATTTGCACCAAGACAGCCATTTATCTGCTCTGTATGCCCTATGGCAAGACAAACCAGACTCCCATTTCCCCAAAGAACCAGCACTACCTCCAAATTATTTGAACTGGTGCACATAGATATATGGGGCCCTTACCATGTAACCACCCATGATAATTACAAGTATTTTCTCACACTAGTGGATGACTTTAGTAGATCCACTTGGACCCACTTATTGAGCTGCAAGAGTAATGCTCTTCAGACCTTAAAGGCTTTTGTGGCCATGATTGAAAACCAATTTAATACATCCATAAAGACCATCAGATCTGATAATGGCTTGGAATTTACCAGCCATGAAGCCCTTTCATTCTACCAATCTAAAGGGATCATACATCAGAAAACATGTCCGTATACACCACAACAAAATGGTGTAGCGGAGAGAAAACATAAGTATCTTCTTGAAACTGCCAGGGCTCTCATGTTCCAGTCTAAACTCCTAACTAAATATTGGGGAGAATGCATCCTAACAGCCACTTATTTGATAAATAGGCTGCCAACCACTTACCTTAACAACAAATGCTCCTTTGAGCTGTTGTATCAAAAGAAGCCTCATTACTCTCACTTGAGAAGCTTTGGATGCTTATGTTATCCCACTTTACCCAAAATACACAGAGACAAATTTGAACCAAGAACTATCCTCACATCTTTGTAGGATACCCATTTGGGACAAAAGGTTACAAGGTACTAAGCCTGGCCACCAAGAGAATTCACATCTCTAGAGATGTAATCTTCCATGAAAATGTTTTTCCATTCTCCTTAAACTCTGAAAATACTTCCTTTCCTGCTGTTCTTAGAACAGTCTCTTCTCCTAACTATGTTGAAGATAGTAGTCAAGTTCTCCCTATGAAATTAAGACAAAGTCCTGGTAGTGTCACATCTCCAGAGATAGAACACCACTCTGAGGCACCTATCAATTATACACCTTCTCCAAACACCACTAATCTTCCATCCACAAATGATAACAACTTATAGTCTTCACCTACACATGCTCAGTCAGAAGCACCATTTTTAAGAAAATCCAACAGAAGTCATCAAACTCCTGCCTACTTAAGAGATTATGTTTACCAATTACCTAGTAGTTCTGCCCAACATTCCACTGTCACACAACATTTCTCCCCTTCACTAAAAGCCCTATTTTCCAATCATCATCATATCACTCCTGATGTTCTATCTACTGAAAGTCAGCACTTGATGCTAAATGTTTGCCATGATAGTGAGCCATCTTCATATGAAGAGGCAGCTCTCAATCCTGCTTGGCAGGCTGCCATGACACAGGAATTTGAGGAACTTCATGCCAACCATACTTGGGATTTGGTTCCCTTGCAAGCTGGCAAACAAGCAATATGTTGCAAGTGGGTATATAAAATCAAACATAGGGCTGATGGGAGCATTGAAAGGTTCAAAGCTAGGTTGGTAGTGAAGGGTTACACTCAGCAGGCTAGGATTGACTATACAGAAACTTTCTCCCCTGTTGTGAAAATGACAACTGTTAGAGTCCTAGTTACAGTAGCTGTTAAGAAGGGATGGGACATATTCCAATTAGATGTGAACAATGCCTTTCTCCATGGGGACCTACATGAGGAAGTCTATATGGAGGCCCCTCCAGACCTTGTAGTAGATCAGTGCAGTTCAAGTAGAGTGGTGTGCAGACTGAACAAGTCACTGTATGGACTCAAGCAGGCCAGCACACAATGGTACGCCAAATTGACTGAAGCATTGTCCTCAAAAGGGTACCAGCATTCTGAAAATGATCACTCACTCTTTTGCAAGAAAACTCCTTCCTCCATCATTTTTGTGGCTGTCTATGTTGATGATGTTATAATTACTGGAACTGATTCAGCAGAGATTGCAAGTTTGAAAGCTTTCCTGGATCAAATGTTCAAAATAAAGGATCTAGGTATACTTCACTATTTTTTGGGACTAGAAGTCTTGTATAAACCAAATGGCATTCTTATTTCTCAAAGGAAGTTTGCCTTGGACTTGTTGAAAGAGTATCAGTGTTTTGACTACAGCAGTGTTTCTTCACCCTTTGACCCTACCATAATACTACAGGAAGTTAGTGGAAAAGCTCAACTTTCTCACCAATACTAGGTTGGATATAGCTTATAGTGTGCAGCTCCTAAGTCAATTTATGCAAGCTCCAAGAGACACCCACCTGACAGCAGCATTTCACCTTCTCAGATACCTTAAGAAGGATCCTACTCTGGGTGTTTTCTTCTCCAATAATCCTGACTGCTCAATCAAGGCCTTTTGTGACTCAGACTGGGCAGCCTGCCCAGACTCTAGGAGGTCTGTCACTGGGTACATTGTTTTGGTGGGAGATAGCCATATTAGCTGGAAGTCCAAGAAGCAGGAGACTGTTTCCTTATCCTCAGCTGAAGCAGAATATAGATCTCTCAGGAAATAGTTGGGAAACTAGTCTGGTTGAGCAGGTTATTTGCAGAACTTACTGTTGTCCAGTCAAGTCCTATCCAGGTGTTTTGTGATAGTCAATCTGCTATACACATTGCTCATAATCCAGTGTTTCACGAGAGGACCCAGAAAATTGAAGTTGATTGCTATTTTGTTAGGAACAAACTGCAAGAAGGCCTAATCTCTCTTCATCATGTATCCACTCACAATCAATTGGATGATATCCTCACAAAGGCTCTCACAGGGGTCAAACACTCAGCTGTCCTGGGCAAGTTGGCTGTGAGGACCTCACCTCCAACTTGAGGGGGGGTATTGAGTATAGTTATTATTATTGATAGATCAATTCATTATTGTATTGTGTAACATAACTTCTAGTTAGTAGCTAGCTTAGTGATTAGCCTAGTCAAATTAGTTAATGAGCAATTAGTTTAGTCAATAAGTCAACATGTATATATCCTTGTACAATTAGTGAAACAAAATGGGAGTTCACATTTTCAGGAAAATATCTCGGCTCCTCCACTCTCTCTTCTTCCTCTTTTCTCTCAGAATGTTCTAGTAGATTCCATGGGAGCTTCATCCATTTGAGCTCGCATGCACTCTTGTTAAGATAAAATAATGAAATAAATACCAGTATGTCCAGCGGTCATTGAGTGGCAGAGAGAGTTCAGTCGGAATTGGATCGGGAGATTTTTCCGGCTCCAGTTCGCCAGTCCGGTTGGTATCTTTGAGCATTATGCCGCCGGTGAACAAAGCCAAGCTCAAGACCCTAATTTTCACGATAATTTTGAGCGTTTCGCCGTCGGTCTGTGTCGTGGCATTTAGTTGAGTTCCATGAAATTGTGATCCTTTCTATGTATGCAGTTATGATCCTTTACTCCAACCTTCACCTTAACCCTAAATTTTCAAATGCAAAATCACAACGGGTGAATTGGATGAACATGAGAGGGTAAAATGAGTTTTTTCGCATGTTTCATACGTGGCAATTATCAGCATCAGCGTGAATACAAGAATTAGCAATTTGGAGCTCCATTATTAAAAGGAAAAAGAAATTAGTTGAAGGACAAAATTGAACATTTTCATCCTGCTAAGACTTGTATCATAGTAGTTGATATTCCGGCTAAAAAAAATTTTATATTCCGTCTACACCCCGTTTTACCGTTCAAAACCAAACAGATGTATAAGTGGATGAGGTCCATGAGGAAAGAGAAACACCGCTTAATCACTAGTTTTACTCTACGACCGATTAATTTGAAGATATAATAAGCTTACTAGTTATATGTGAACTCCAATATAATAGAACTAAGAATTCACATAAAGGAGTAGTACATTATTAGTTGCTAAGCTACAAACAAACGCGACTGTAGACTGTAGAGCAAAATATGGTTGAACCGCAGTAAATGATAGAATTTTCTTTCAATCTCTATAATATTTTGAATCACACTTATCTTCTAAAAGTTAATAGAAGTTGAATCAGGATTTATCAATATAATGAAAATAATCATTCTGTTCAGTCTTTACAACTTTAGAAATTAGAATCACAACTTTATTTTTTTTTATTGTCCAGTTTCCGCATGAATAGAATTCAGATTAATCGAATTTACGGCACGTAAGTCTCATTAAACGGGAGCGCACTCCCTACCAAAAATAATTTTGTTCCTGAGGCTTCGAATTAACTTGAAGCCTCTGGTTAAGGATAAAGAGATCCTAGCCATATCATCAGAATCTTGGTGATGAATCATACTCAAATATCTCTCGAAATTATAGTAAAAGTTAACTCTATCATCTTTATCAATACATTAAAGTTGTTGTAAGTTTTAAACCAAAACTTCGTTAGCTATGTATATAATTCCATGATCGTGACACTGCGATATTTCACCTTATATAATTGTTGATATTTTCATGATTGATTCTCAAGCTTTGACATATCTCAATTGATTTTGATTCATCATGAGCTTATATATTCTTCCAATCCTTGGTAAAAAAAAACCGCTGATAAACTTACATGTATGGAACATCCACCTACATTTGCCACAACTTTTCAATCCGATCATACATTTGTGATCTAGAGTTAAACAGGAATTTATTCTTTCCAATCAAACGGTGGAAAACTCATCAACACAATTAATTTGAAGAATAAGCAACAGGATATAACTTTGTGTGTGTTATTTGACTTGACAAAGTTTATTCATGTTCGTTCCACGAACAGTCTATAAGAAGGGGACGATCAAGAATATGCGCTCGGATATTCCGTCATTATTCTTTCTCTAAATAGAAAATGTATATCCTTTCTTAAACAACGTAATAAAATATTAGAAAAATGAGTGTGTTTGTTGCACAAACAATAATTAAGTCCTTGGATTATAAAATTCAAAGTCTAACATAATTCTTTATATTAACCTGAAAATCAAAATACCAATTATTCCCCACCCCCCCCTCCCCCCCAAAAAAAAAATACTTGAGCTTAAGACCAACTCTAGAAGAAGAAAATAACTAACCAGAAGATGCTAATTTTGTCTAAATCTACGAAACGAAAGTACACCAACTAAGACTTTTAGTGAGGGGAAATCATAGATTTGTGACCTCTGCTCTGATAGTTGAGCTATGTGTTTTTGCTGACTTAGACAAAGCACCTTCCACGCGAAAATAAATTTATTCAACGAATTATATTCTGAAATAGTAATTAGTACTATATTTGCAGGATTTAGACGTTTCATTATTGTTCACTAAATGACGCTTTATCCGCCAATTAACTTATTTTTTATCCGTATTAAATACGGATCAAATCATATATTTTATCTATTTTTGTGGTATCCCCGCAAGTTTGCTACCCCTAAGTACAACCTTTCTAATAACATGCCCTCACATTATGACCCCTCGTAATCAGGAAAGAATCGAACATAATTTTAAGAATACGCCCTTTTTGTTTAACCTCCATTTTCTGTTTTGATCCCAGAAGAACATTTGCAGCTCAATGTTGAAGTTCTGTAATTGCATATTGTCCGCTTGATAACTACGAATTGCATATTTTCTTATTCTTTTCCCTTGGAGAACATATATAGCTAAATGATTTTTACAATATTTCCTCATCTTATGGATCCTCGTTGCCAGCATGCAAGTTACGATTGATCTACTTTGTGAATGTAGTGTACAAAATTGGTTTGAGATAATCGGAACACTGAACACACTACATCATCCGTCTTCTCCCGTTTAATTACACAATGTCATAGGCATTTTAAAAGAAAAATATCATCTATGCATCTAACTTGATAAGCTCTTTTTTTTTTTTTAAAGAGAGAGTTTAAATTCTATGCACTGACTTTGTAAAAGATAATTTTATCCACGTTTGATGTTCAATACTTCAATGTAACACATGTTTTAAGGATGTCACATTATTATCCATTTCTACTGTTGAATACTTTAGGAAATGCTTCCATAAATATATTATTGCGGAATATCGTGGGTTAACTAGCACACAATCACACACAAAGCAAATAGAGAAGAAAAATCAACTCAAGGATTTAACGAGGTTCGGCTAAGCCTAATCCTCGGGGCAAAAGTAGAGAGAGTTTTTCACTATGAATGAGAAGAAAAGCACAATACAATCTATAGAATCCCCAACTACAACCCCTATATATAGATCCCAAATAGTTCTAAACCCATAAGAGAAAGGTTTCCCAATTTGACAAGGACAATAGCTTTTCCTTTCCCAAATCTATTGGGACAATGTGTTTTCCTAAACCTATAGGGATTATGGGTTTCCTAAAAATACAAGGAAATAATTCAAGCCACAAATAACAAATCTTCCCTTGGCTTGAATTCTCTTCATCAACAGGAACAATGTCTCTCTACCTTGCCCTCAGCCCTTGCAAGGGCTCTACCCATTCCCGCACACATCAACCAAGTTTAGGCAACACCTAAACTTGTTAAGAGACTTAATCTCTTTAGCCATAGCACTAATCCGTCGATTTGGTTCTATACCCGAATAGCTTCTGGATAGCTATAACACTCAAACGCATCAATGGTTTCTGCAACTGCCAAAGCAAATCCCACAGGATTCGTATATCTAAGAAGATTCCCATCAACTACGTTCGCAAACCTTTGCGGCCGGTTGATCACTCTCTTCTCTCTGCCTGTTGCAATGCTATAGGGTTGTTGCGCAGGTGCATTATCATCTTGATCAATATTTTGCACCTCCTCCACTTCCTCTACTTTAGAACTACTGGGCTGAGCTATGGATATTCAATATCTAGCTCTATGCCGTCACTGACACCACGATCTGTTTCTGCTATTGCCTTCTCCCTCTGACTGTCTAGTGAGGTAGAGTCACTGAATGTTACATCCCTACTGATAATTAGCCCTGGAGTCTTTTGATCTGTGCACCACAACCTATAACCTTTCACTCCAGTTGCATACCCTAGAAATATGTACTTCTTTGCCCTCGGCTCAAGTTTTCCATCCCTCACATGAGCATAAGCAGGACAACTAAATATCCTTAAATTTGAATAATCAGCAGGCGAACCGGTCTATACCTCAAAAGGAGTTTTGAACTCAATAGCTCTGGATGGAGATCTGTTGACCAAATAACAAGCTGTATTAATTGCTTCAGTCCAAAAATCTTTGCTAACACGTGAGTGTGAAAGCATGCTTCGTGCCCTATCACAAAGTGTTCTATTCATACGTTCTGCAATACCATTTTGTTGTGGTGTTCCGACACAAGTGCGGCGTCTTACTATGCCCTCCCTGCTGCAGAAATTATCGAACTCAGAATTGCAAAAGTCCAACCCATTGTCAGTTCGAAGACGCTTAAATTTTCTTTCCGTCTGCCTCTCAACCATCGTCTTCCATTTAACAAATGTCGAAAATGTCTCATCTTTTATTTTCAGAAAATACACCCACACCATCCTTGAGTAATCATCAATCAAAGTCATAAAATACTTGGCACCAATCTTGGAGGAAACTCTGTTTGGACCCCACAAGTCAGAGTGTATATAATCTAACTTCTCTCTGGTCTTGTGCTCGGCCTTCTTGATGAACTTTACCCTTGTCTGTTTACCAAACACACAATGCTCACAAAAATTCAAAACTTGATTTTTGTACCCATTCAGCAAATTCTGCTTACTCAACAAAGACAATCCATTATCACTCGTATCGCCAAGTCGCAAGTGCCACAACTGAGACTGATTCAGATTACTTTTCCCAGAAGCTAGAACAACTTCCCCTTCAATTACACTGGCCAAAATATGATACAATTTAGAATGTAGTTTACCCTTCATGGGTACCATGGAGCCTTTACACACTTTATG